TCCTGGATGGTAACCAGTTCCCTGCTAATGAGGTTATGGATTCTAAGAGGAGATCCAGCTAGCAGGCCTGTTACTCACCATGGCAATATCTTTGCAATGTTGTTTGTTAAGTCTGATTCAGAGACAGAGCAAGAGAGTACTGTGGGAGCTAGAGAAAGGAAGTGTGAGAGGGAAGGATTAGAGAAGGAAGGACAGGAAAACGAAAAGATTGCTGTCTCCTGAAATGAGCCATTTCCAGGAGTTGTCCAGATGAGACTGCACATAGTTATCCTGCCACTTTGTCCCGTTTCTTTTCTCCTTTGTCACCTTCCAATTCATTGTATGGCATTTCCTTGTGTTTAAAATGTTCAGGAACATGACATTTTACTGAGTCTTGCTGACTATTACAATTCTCCTTTATCCGCCTTTATTCAATCAGCAGCAATGACACGATAATGCAGAGAAACAGAGAGCAAACCAGAGAAGGAGATATTAGTAAAGTGTTGAGGGGGCTTTTAATTTTGGGGTGGGTGTATTCTTAAAGAAAGAGGTGACCGCGTTGGGAGGAGATCCCAGAGCTTGATGGGGGACAGTGTAGTGGCAGCTTTACTCTGTATCTAACGACACGCTGTTCCTGTCCTAGGAGTGTTTGATGGGGGCACTGCAGGGGGACCCTTACTTTGTATCAAACCCCATGCTGTCCTTATCCTGGGAGTGTTTGTTGGGTGATAGTGTAGAGGTAGAGACGCCTTTATAAAGAATGATGGACCACCAAAGATTCAGAATGAAGCATTCTGTAAGTGGTAAAATAATTATCTCTCATTTTGCACAAGGCTGAGGCAGGGGTGTTTTCTTGGGTTTTGATCAGATAATGGGGGAGTTTCTTAAGCTTGAGGGACATGGCTCATATTGTTTTGAACAGAGTAAACAATGTAAATCCTGACAGATTTCATCACAATCTCCTGTAGATGACATTGTCATAGCAGGACTCATATATTTTTCCCTGCACCTCCTCCAGTTTAAAATATCTGTCCAATAACATTTTTAGTCACTTGTGCTAGTATCTCTCATGCATTCCTAGGAAATTTTATTCTGTAATTGTTCTGTGAGTATTTAGTTATACATACAATACAAACTTTTGCTGAGACATTTTCTGTCCTCCTTTTTTTCATTTCTTGTCTCTTCTTTCTGGCTGCTTTGTTCTTCATCTCAGCTTTTTGTAGTTTTTGGATGAAACAGCTTTTTCTTTTCTTATCCTGTTAATGACTCTCGATCTCACTATAGTATAGGCTGCCCTGTAACAACAGCCCTGCCCTGCTTAGGTAAATGTGACTATCCCTCAGCACTGCAATCTTCAGGCATCTCCTCTCCTTGGACATCCGTGCAGCTTAATGTGAAGAAATACAAAGTTATTTATTTTGGTCCTAATAAAGGCGAGAAGTTTGTAAATGTTGATGTGTGGAGGGACTTGGGTGTACAAGGAACATAGAAACATAGAAAACAGGAGCAGGAGTGGGCCATTTGGCCCGTTCAGCCTGCATCAACATTCAATACGATCATGGCTGATCATGCAATCTCAGTATCCCATTCCCACTTTCTCTCCATACACCTTGATCCCTTTACTCGCAATGGCCACATCCAGCTCCCTCTTGAATATAACTAATGAAGTGGCCCCAACAGCTTCCTGTGGGAGAGAATTCCACAGGTTCACAACTCTCCGAGTGAAGAAATTCTTCCTCGTCTCAGTCCTGAATGGCTTACCCCTTATACTTAGACTGTGACCCCTATTTTTGGACTTTTCCAACATTGGAAACATTCTTCCTCCATCTAGCCTGTCCAGTCCCATCAGGATTTTCTATGTTTCCATGAGATCCCCCCTCATTTTTCTAAATTCCAGCGAATAAAAGCCCAGTCGATCCAGTCTTTCCTGATATGTCAGTCCTGCCATCCTGGGAATCAGTCTGGTGAACCTTTGCTGGACTCTTTCAATAGCAAGAATGTCCCTGCTCAGACTAGGAGATGAAAACTGCACACAATACTCAAGGTGTGACATCACCAAGGCCCTGTATAACTGCAGCAAGACATCCTTACTCCGATACTCAATTCTCACAATGAAGGCCAGCATGTCACTGGTTTTTCTCACTGCCTGCTGCATCTGCATACCAACCTTCAGCAACTGTTCCATCAAGACACCTAGGTCTCATTGCCCATTACACAGGGAAAGAGTTAACACATAGGCACAAGAAGCCACGTGCAAGGCAAATGGTATGGCCTATTTGCAAGGAGATTGGGGTACAACATTGAACATGTTTTGCTCCAGTTATATAGGTTATTGGTGAGGCTCCACCCAGAATACTGTGCACACTTTCAAAGGAAGGATATATTTGCCTTGGATGTAGTACAATGAGAGTTCATTAGACTGGTCCATGGGGTCAGAAATTTGCCCTGTAGCTTAGAAGCTGAACAGATTTTTTTCCATTTCCTCTGGAGTTTCGAAGAATAACAGGAGATTTCCATGAAAACAGCTAAGATTCTCTAAGTAGACAATGAGAGGTTGTTACCCCTCACTGGGGAAACTAGAACACAACTTCATAGTCTCAAGATAAAGGGGCTGATCATTTTGGACTGAGATGAGGAAACGTTCTTCACTCGGAGGGTGGTGAATCTTCAGAATTCTTTATCCCAGAGGTTTGTGGAAACTTCAAATATGATGAGGGCAGGACATACCCTTAATGGTAAGGTCACTGCTGCCAAACAAACAATGAATGAAGTGTGGGTTCATTGTTTCTAGAAAGTGGAGTTGCAGTAGACAAAATAATGAAGAAGGCGTTTGGTACACTTGCCTTTATTGGTCAGTGCATTGAGTATTGGAATTGGGAGGTCACATTGCGGCCATATAGGACATAGGTTAGGACACTTTTGGAATACTGTGTTCAATTCTGGTCTCCCTGCTATAGGAAGGATGTTGTGAAACTTGAAAGGATTCAGAAAAGATTTACAAGAATGTTGCCAGGGTTGGAGGGCTTGAGCTACAGGGAGAGGCTGAATAGGCTGGGTCTATTTTCCCTGGAGCGTCAGAGGCTGAGGGGTGACCTTATAGAGGTTTATAAAATCATGAGGGGTATGGATAGGATGAACAGCCAAGGTTTTTTCCCCAGGGTAGGGGAGTCCAAAACTAGAGGGCGTAGGTTTATGGTGAGAGGAGAAAGATTTAAAAGGGACCTGGGGGGCAACTGTTTTATGCAGAAGGTGGTGGGTGTATGGAATGAGCTGCCAGAAGAAGTGGTGGAGACTGGTACAATTACAACATTTAAAAGGCATCGGGATGGGTATATGAATAGGGAGGGTTTAGAGGGGTATGGGCCAAATGTTGGCAAATAGGACTAGATTAACTTAGGATATCTGGTTGGTATGGACAAGTTGGACCGAAGGGTCTGTTTCCATCCTGTACAGCTCTATGACTGAGTAGATTTGAGGCAGCAATAGACCACTGTGTGTGGCTGAAAGAATCCAGGGATATTGGGAATGGGTGGGAAAGTGGAGTTGAAGCCCTAGACCAAGCATGGTGATGAATGGCAGAGCAGATCTGACATGCTGTGAGGTTTCTCTTGCTCTCACTTCTCATGTTCTCATTCCTCTCACACCCGAAGGAGAATAGCCATGAGGTTGATGCCTGAAATGAGTCTGTTGACTTATGAGAGGAGGTTGGACAGACTGGATTTGTTTCCATTGAGTTTAGAAGAGTGAGGGGTGATTGACTGAAGTGCATAAGATCCTGAATAGCCTTGACAAGGTGGACAGAGAAAAGATGTTTCCTGTTGTGGGTCAGTCCAGACCTAGAGGTCACCCTTTCAGGATAGAGATGAGGAGAATTATTTTCTCTCAGAGGGCTTATGTGGCTTTGGAACTTTGAGTCGGAAGCAGTGGAGAAGGTCATTGAGTATTTTTAAGACAGAAGTGCATAGATTATTGTCAGGCAGGGGAGTCAGGAGGGGGTGTGAATGCGAAATTTGAAAGACAAACAGCCATGACCTTATCGAATGACAGAGCAGAGATGAATGGTCAGTTTCTGCTTCTAGTTCTTGTGTTCATATACTTGCCTAACAACCCAGAGCTTGAAGCTTCTGAATCCAACAGTAAGCTTTCTACTCCCAGCCTTTCTCACTGCCTTGACCGAGGTATGCTAACGTTCCACAGACAGCGAATCAAACTCCAGGCTTTCCCAGCCTACGTGACACATCCATCATAACCACCTTGGACTGCCCACTTTGCCCCAGGTGTTAGAAAGCTCCAATGGCTCAGTGGTTCCCAAAGGCAGTTCTGAATCCCCCAATCCATACTGCTCCATGTCAGATTTTCCAACAAACTACTCATTCACAAGAAGCCAGTACCAGCTGCAGGTTTCAGGAAGGGGGCTGTAGGATTTTGGGATCTCCCCTCTGATCAAGGGTTGGAAATAGGCTTCTCATTCAGTCACTAAGCCATTCGGGAGCGCCTGTTCTCTAAATGACCTGACACAGCTCAAACTTACTGCTCATTCTCAAACCCAAACGGAAAGCAGAGCAACAAAATTGATAAGAGACTGAATGAATGAAAAAGCAGAGAAGAAAATGAGGGAGCAAGGGGCGCAGGTGTTAAAATGTTTCTAAACAGCACTTTTAAATACGTGCAGTTCCTGAGCTTGCAGGGGATCCGAGATCAATGCGCAGACAGGAACTGCAGTGTGCGTTTTGGGAGTTTTAGACATTGAGTAACACCTTCAAGCCTTGGATTTCGACAACTTGTACATGGAAAAGTCAGCCTCAATACAGGAAGGGCTTTTGCCCTTATCACCTTGGCACTGAGGAGATGTAGCAAGGCCTTCAACCAGTGCCCTGCAGCTGAGAGATGAAGGGGCATGCTCGGGCAGGGGGCTGTCCAAGGCCACCCTGGGTTGCACCACGGGCACAGGTTCTTCTGGAAGGGGGGTCAGTGGTCTGTGGAGTACCTCAACGTCTGTGTGTCTGTCTGTCTGTCTTCAGAGGAGAGCAAACTGGCTTCCGAGACCCTGGAGGAACTGGACTGGTGTTTGGATCAACTCGAGACGCTTCACACGAGGCATTCTGTCAGTGAGATGGCCTCCAACAAGGTGAGCTGACAAAGCTGGGTGCGGGGGTGCTGCCATGGGGTGGGAGGTGGGGGGCGCAAGTGGCTAGATAGCTGAGCGATCTGCAGCATGTTCTGTACAGACGCTGACAGTAAGCAGCATTGTCCCTCTGTGGTGGATCAGACGATCACTGTTAACCAGACAAAGCCACACAATAGAGTAGCACCCATCTCGAGAACAGGTTTGGGATGGTCCGAGAGACGTGGAGTGCTCCTCTCGTTGAGACTCAAACCTCCCCCACTCCAAACCTCCCAGATTAGAGCAGAATTGGACCAAACTGGAGAGAATAAATTCTCCTGATGTCCAAATGTTTCTTTTCCTTGCAAGGGCAGAATGATGAGTAGCTGCTTCTATCTCCTTCCCTCTCCCACAGCTTGACACTGTTTAATTCTCTAGATGCACGACTCTACCAACAGAGCGCCGCACTGTGGGAGGGTCAGTGCCGAGGGAGCGCCGCACTGT